ACCAAGTTCTGCAAACGTCTTCACCACTTCGTCCTCTTCCTCCATTTCAATACCCACCAACAAATTCACTATCTCCTGGACTTCAAAGAAGACTCTAAAGGAATCAAACAGCGTTACGAAAAATCGCGTCAGTAAGATTTCCGGCGAGATTCAGAGCTTTAGATAAATCGAGCTGCGTTGCGTTAGGGTACAAATCAGAAGCGACTCTAGTCTTTGCTAAGAAAGAGTGAGACAAAAAGTGTAAGTTTTATTTTTGGCTACGAAGGGTTTTAGTTAGGGTTATGAAATATTAGCATTATTGGATCAAGTATGGGCCTTGTTTACATTACTTTGGTCTCAACAAAAGCCCATCTAATTGGTCAAAATCTTTATCTGATTTATAAGGTGAAGAACTAAAAGCCAATTCTAAGGTTAACCTTAAATTAAATATATGAACTGAAGAATAACTTTATATTACAAGCAAAGTTTTGACACGTTTGATAGAAAAAAAAATGTGAACACTTGAAAAAACTACTGAGATGCTTTATTCTTGTTGGAGATGTCTTGGAGCAATAATCTTGCTTCAGCAGCAAAATCAACAGGGGCTACTCCTTTCACAGTTACCCTTTGCCTCTTCTCTCCGTTATACTCATTCTGAGTGACACTAACACGGAAGACATGAGATGACCACGTTGCTTCTTTCAGTCTTGTCTGATACTCATTCACTTCTCCTTCCTGCAAACAAATTATATCTAAATTAAATCTGACATTCTAAACTCGAAATGCTCACTACTACCTTTTACAGGTTTCTTTAATCTTACCTCTGATCTTAGTTTGTTGAGCTCGTCAGCTGAACACCCAAGTATCTTCTCTGCTTCATCGTTGAATGAGGAAATCCAAGTTTCTCCAGATGAGTCGGTGACTTTAACCGCCATTATGTACCTAACAACGACCAAAGTTGACATATTTGAGATGTCTGAGAAAGGAAGTTCAGATTCTAACCAAGTTTTGTTCTATGAATCTGACTATCTTACCTTAAGCTGCATTCTTCATATTTTTTCTGGCATCCTTCACACCAGTAACCAGAGTCAAGTGCTTCAGTCACTTTCTTGTTACAAGTCTTACAAGCTTGGTACCACATTGTCTGGTCTGGTTTGATGAAGCTTACGTAAGCCCTGGTGCTGAAAAATACAGGCTGCAACAGAAATCCAAGTTCATAGTAAGTTTTTAACTCTACCATTAAGAAATAAGAAGTTTAGGTTCAAGACTTGAATTTCAGTGTTTAGTACCTTTTCTTCGCCTAAAGATGGGTTGCTTGTGATGTGAGAGAGAAGGACTCGGTCAGTATACATAGACCGAGATCCATTCTTGGTAGCTGGGCTCATCCCTGAGCCAATGGAGGACATGGATATTTCCTTGCCTTCAGAATCGAACCTGCAATTGTCAAAGAGAACGATGATTAACCAAACGTAGACAAGTTTCATAATTTTATTTTACCAGCTGACTCAACCCAAAAGGCATACCAAGATTTCAGCTTTTTAGCTTCTGGTGATACTGGGTTTATAACAACATTGCTTCTGCTGATGGTGGACAAGGAAACACCTGCAGATATTGGATACTATCAGCAATAGGTTCAATCAAATGTGATTTCACATACTGTTAAGTAATAATAAATACTATCAAGTATCAATGATCAAATCAACATTACCTTGAAAATCTCCAACTTTGAGAGACTTGATTGCAATCACAGGTGACTTATCAGCCATGTCTAGTAGCTCTTGACCTATGCCAGTTGCAAGGTCGTTCCACAGGGACACCACAACAGTTTTCTTAGACTCATCAGCCAAAGTTATATCCCTCTTAGGGATCATCTCATTGTCAGTTCTCCTTCTAATACTCATGGTAGGAGATACACTTTGAACAACTCCGATAAGATCTGGAAAGAGCAAAACATGCAAGTTATTATCACAACCAATGTATGATTTACCAGCAAAAAGAATGTTCAATGAAAAAACGACCCTTACCAATGAGTTCCTTCTGATTAACATACAAACCCAAATCTTCAATGGGTATAAAGTTGAATTTTGTCTCAGGGATGAACATTTCTTCGCTACTAGCTTCCTCAACCTCCGAGTTATCATTCAGTGTCATCTCATAATCATTTTGAACCGTCTTGAACTGCTTGTTAGCAAGTTTAAGTGATCCCCTTGATATATAATAGACCTTTCCTAATTGGAATCTGTCATAGAACTTCCTTGCAGCATCATTAAACATCGTTGCTTGAATTTGTGTTCCCTATATCAAAGCCAAATAAACAATATAAGTAAGCACATAAAAGTCTACACCAAGTTCGAGATATAGTAAATTGGGAGGGAGCTTTTCTTACTTCTTCATCTGTTAGTTCCACGTTGAAGACACACCCTTCTCCTCTAGCGTTCTTGTAGTTTCTCATGACTCCCTTGTTTGTAACTCGGACTTTGATGGTCCAGTTGCCTTGATAGGGATTCAAGGACACAAGTGGGTGAACCCTTCTAGTCATGGCCATTCTTGCAGCTGGAGCGGCACTGAAAAAAAACTCAAACACGTTTAAGCAAAACACACATAATAATTATTTGGCAGAGAAGATAATAAAGAAATAAAGAGAATTGACTTACTTTCCCCTTTGTTCACTCATTATCTGAGAAGCTGATTTGGATACAAATTCCTGCTTCGGTTTCAAAGTGATACCAGTAGAAACATCCATCTTAACATCATTCACAGGAGTGACAGGAGAGTGCTCAAGTTTCTGCTTCTTGGGCACACTAGCCTCCTCGTCGCTCTTACTCTCCAAGTTAATCTCAGCATCAAGCACAGAACCAACAGCTTCACATTTTGTGACAAGGAAATATCTGACACAGAGACAAGAGAGAAACACAAATGTCAGAAACTTTTGATATCAAGAATCGAGACAACAAAGTGATTATCCATTATAAAAAAAAAAGACTCTTACTTTGTTGCTTTGCTTGAAATGTCGTTAACAGTGAAATCGATGAGACGAATTAGACCCAAATTCTGAATTTTTCCAGATATAATTTCAGGTGTTAGTGAAGCTGTAAACATGGCTTTGAGTTTCGTCTTTCCGTCATTTGCACTAAATCTGTAAACCGAAATCAAAACATGTAAACGAACACAATCAGATCAAATTCGAAGAAAACAAAACACTAGATCCATCAAAACAAAAATCAATACTTTATCAGATCCGTTACTAAAACCCAAATCTACGGATTAAAAATAAAAATAAAAAAGTCTCATAACAAAAACCCAGATCTCATATCATATCGAAATCTAGCTATCCATTGAGATTGGGATGACGAACACTAATCTAGAGCCGGAGCAAGCGGGAGAGAATAAGGGAAATTAAAACATAACACAGATAATTAAAAAAAGCAGCGAAGCTTACGTATATCTATTTCCAATAGGCTTAAGATCGACGACTTGAACAACGATCTCAGGACGATCAGAGGAGGAATCAAAGGAAGGGTTCGACAAAACGGTGGAAATAGCACCAGCGGTCACTGAAGTCTGCATCTTTTCTCTTTCTCTCTCTCTCTCTCGATTGAAACGTTTAGATTTCTCCTTGATCAGAACGGCGAAACCCAAAACAAGGTGTGTGTGACTGTGAGTGAGGGCAAAGAGAGGTGGAAGGGTTTTGTAAAGGTGAGAGTTTTGAGCGGGAGCTATTCATTTCAATTAATTAGTACCCCGCTCCTTTTTTCAGTATATTACCTTTTCTTTTTGGCGCATTTTTTCCCATTTTGGTGTATTTTTGTTTAGTAATGGGCTTTCTTATTTAAATTTACAAAGCCTAGTTCAGGCCCATTATTGTAATCAAAGCCCTTAAACCCAAGTAAACTGAGAAGTCAAATATTTGACCACCACGAGAAGCAAAAGAAAAAAATGGTGAACTAAGAAAGCCCATTACTTACATGAATTGTTAATTGACAGTTTTAAAAAGTTAATTACATGAATTGTTTCTCCACCTTCACTCACAAAAAAAGTCATTGTCCCAAAATGGCATCATTAGTAGCTGTTTCCACGTGTGATTGGTTTGAAAGTTTTGCATGTTAATTTGATAAACCACATATCACGTTACTAGAAACTGTTTCTAACAATTTACAATTTTGTTATGTGTATTTCCACGAAATACTATTATTCATATATTCGAAATTTGTATAAAACAAAAACGTCTAGTCGTAATCATACTCAATCCCAGACTAAATAATAGTATTATAACAATCTCTAATCATAAATAAATATTACATGTTTTTAATTTATTCGGCTCTTAAAATATACGATTTCATTGCGTGAGCCAAACATTTATTTAAATTTATATGAAGAGAAAATTAAAACCAAATGTTGTCACCCTACACACATTTTACACTTTATGACTTATGAGCTGTTGTCAATCAACTACTCTCGTTTGAGAGCCGCACATTATTAATCAATCGGACGGTTACGATCAAGACATGTACCCGCGATTTTTTTCTCTCGTCCACGAGGCCAGTCAAACTTCAAGTATTGACTATTATACTAATCAACTTTATATTATAGTAATTTCTAGTTGTACCCCCTAGTTTTCTAAATCTTATAAAGTTATCCCTAATTTATTTAATAACTCCAAAAATTTAATTAAAAAATGTGGGTGATATTAGAGAAAACAAATTAAATTTCTGTTTACTGTTATTGTTAAGGGTGATATTAGTAATTAACAAGAAATAGTAAGGTCATTTCTGATGTGTTATAAATTATATTTTCTATCCCCAAAATTAAGTTTCCCTTTGTATTCGTCGTCCCCTCAATGTGTGGAAGTCAATGGCAGGATCCACTTCAAGATATCCTTGGCGGCCTTAAAATCTCAGAGACTAATAAATAAACAAACAAAAACTGTGAAATTTTTATCATTTTTTTTCTCAACATTTCGCTATCTTACGAAATTACGGGTTCGTCTTCGTTCCAATACTAATTCCATTTTACAACTTTATGTTTTTTTTTATAAATAGAGTTGCTTGCACCACAAATTCTTTTCCTTTCCTTCTTCCTCTTCCCCAATAATCTCTTGCTCTTTCCTCAAAAATCTCTTCTTTGCTGGTATAGAAATCGAAATCAGAAGCTTTTTTCATTTCCTTTTTTTTTTTTTTTTTAAATTTCATCTTCTCCCCGAAAAACTTGGAGTGTGGTCGTTTCACGGTACGTTCTATTTTGTTCGATCACCAAGTCCAAGTGTATGCTAAAATGTTTTTGTGAATTCAAAAGTATCTGGTTTTACTCAAAATCTCTCCTTTTTTTTCTTTACAGAAGCAAGAGAGCCGTTGACTTGGACTTTTTCTTTTGGGGGTGTTGTGTGGGATTATAGTAATGGTCTTGTGAGGAGGAAGAGATGTTGGATTTGAAGAGGGCTTCACTCATCTTTTACCACAAGTATGTCAACTGGATTAAGCTTAAGTAGTTATGGTTTTTACCATGTTCATGTGGGGATTCCTCTTCCTCTCTGTTTACTTCATTCCGAGATGACTTAAAAGAGTTTTTTCAAGTCTAGTTATTGGGATTAAGCTTATCTAGTCATTACTTTATACAAACAGCCCTTACTTTATTTGCTGACTGATCAAACAGTTTCCATTAGTATAAATCTTTACTGCTTCCCTCATTTGTGCTTTTCACCTTTAAAGACTCGACTTTTCCTCTCTGCTACCGTGTTTGGGTATGGATGAGTTTGAATCCAAGCTTCCTGTTTCCGGGGTAAAAAACCATGTCTTTGAGGCATGTCACCATGTTGTAAAGGCACTGAGGGCGTCTGATAACAACCTCGACGCCAACTTGAGAAAGCTACTAAGTGACCTAGAGTCGCATTTGTCAACATTTGGGATTGCTGATACCAAAGTTGAAGATACAGGATTCTCTGAGATCGAGGTGAGATTCAAAGAATCTGTGAAGACAATCCTCAGTTGGGAAACAAACCACTCAACCATTTTGGAGTCTGGTCCGTCTGAAGCTGATCACTTTTTTCAAGCCTTGTATGAAGTTCAAACAGTTGTTATGGGTTTCAAAGCTTTGCCCATGAAAACTAACCAGAAGGAGAAAGATGTTTACAACCAAGCTACGGTTGCTCTTGACATCGCGATGTTGAGGCTTGAGAAAGAGCTCTATGATGTTCTGCATCAGCACAAGCAGTGTGTACAGCCTGAATACTTGGCTGTTAGTTCTCGTAGAAAGGATATTGTGTATGACGAGTCCTTTGTCTCCCTAGATGATGTTGAAGTTGTTGTCGAAGCTTCTTCACACGAAGATGATGAACAGATATCAGAATTCTGTAATTCTGATTTAATTGATCCCAGCGTCCTTCCTCACATCAAAGCTATTGCAAATACCATGTTTGCTTGTGAGTATGATCAAGCATTCTGTGAAGCTTTCATCAGCGTTCAAAGAGAAGCTCTGGATGAGTATATGGTCACTCTCGATATGGAAAGATTCAGCTGCGTCGATGTTCTTACAATGGAATGGAATGATTTGAAATTGAATGGTGCGATGAGAGAATGGACAAGGGTTGTTAAAAACATTTCTCATGTCTATCTCCCTAGTGAAAAGCAGCTCTGTGAACAGATCTTGGGAGACTTTGAGTCAGTTTCTTCCGCGTGCTTCATCGAAATCTCAAAAGATACAGTTCTATCTCTCCTCAACTTTGGTGAAGCTGTAGCACTGCGACCTTGCCAGCCAGAAATGCTTGAGCGCTTCCTTAGTATGTATGAGGTTTCAGCAGAGATTCTCTTGGATGTTGATAACCTCTTCCTGGATGAATCAGGCTCGTTTCTAAGGATGGCATTCCACGAGCTATCAAAACACCTAGCTGATCATACAACCGCAACCTTCTTAAAGTTCAAAAACGCAATAGCCTTAAATGAATCTGCACACCCCTTTCCTGGAGGCGGTGTTCATCACTTGACCAGGTATGTAATGAACTACCTGAAGCTTCTCCCGCAGTACGCAGATACCATAAACTCACTTCTTGAGAACATAAATGTTGACGACTCAATCCCCGAGAAAACAGGACAAGACGTCCTCCCTTTGACATTCTCTCCAATGGCTAGGCACCTTCGGTCAATCGTCACAACTCTGGAATCCAACCTCGAGCGAAAAGCTCAGCTTTATGCAGACGAATCACTCAAATCTATTTTTCTGATGAACAACTTCCGTTACATAGTCCAGAAAGTAAAGGGATCAGAGCTGAGACACTTGTTTGGAGATGAATGGATCAGGAAGCACATTGCAAGGTATCAACGCGATGTCACAAATTACGAGAGATCCACATGGAGCTCTATACTCGCTTTGCTCACAGACAACAACAACAATTCTGTAAAAACACTGAGAGACAGATGCAGACTCTTCAGTCTTGCCTTTGATGATGTTTACAAGAAGCAAACCCGTTGGTTAGTCCCTGATCCAGAACTTCGCGATGATCTTCACATCTCGACCTCTGTCAAGGTTGTTCAGTCTTACAGGGGATTTCTTGGAAGAAATGCAACTCGTATAGGCGAAAAACATATCCGATACACTTGTGAAGACATTGAAAATTTGCTCCTTGATCTATTTGAGTGTTTGCCATCTTCAAGATCATTGCGCAGTTCTCGTAGGAGATGATGATTATGACTCGAGCCTCATGGACTCTTATCTTTGTTCTTTTGATCTTTTGTTATTTACTTACGCATGCAGTGATTTGTGATTTTAACATGTAAATAAGGTAGTATAATTTTTATACTCCATTGTGGGGATGTACTTGATTTGCATAATTTAATTAATCGGGGGGGGGGGGGGGGGTATGTGATATCATATCACTGATATGGTCCTCTTTGGCAGAAAACTGTCGAAAAACCACCAGATTCAGTTTCTGTAGCCTTGTTGCGTATGTCCTGCTTGCTTTTTTTTTTTTTTTTGCTAAATGTCCTGCTTGCTTTTGCTAACACTGAACCTATAATGTAGCTTTAATATAGTGATAGAATGGAGAATAACATATTCCAGTTTATGGAAGTCTACAATGCTTGTGTTCATCGTAGTACACTCAACTTATTTTGATATATACGCAACAACCAAAGTGTTGTTATTACCGTGTGTTTCGTTGCTGAAAGTGAAAATGTTTAATAAGTTAGTAAGCCTGCAGCCGAAGAAGACAAGAGGGAGTCGTTGCTCAGACGATTTTGATGCTAGGCCATATTCTCTTTATCGATAACTGACTGAAACTGACTAGCTGACAAAAGCAAACATTAATTGGACCAAAACAAAATATGGACAAAGTTTTATAATATTACGAGTTATAGCAAATGTTTGTTTCCTGCATTCGGATATGACGCATATGCTAAATGTATCTTTTACTGGTCTTGGCTGAAAGAAAATATAAGATTGAATAAGCAGATTCAACATCAATCTTTGCACATACCCTCATATATTGGACCATCACTAAAGAGATAGAGATTAACTGAAAGATGATGAATGCTCTCAAGCCAAAACTTCATCTACTAAGGCTACTACCCTCAACTCGGTTCCAACAAAAGTAAACAAAAAAGTCTGCAAATTTTGGAATGGAAACAAAACTAGGGAAACGCCCTAAATAGCCTAAAACAGCCCACCCAGTTCCCCCTTAAAACCAAAGGTTGGTTCAGCAGGCAGTAGCAACAGCATTCTTTTCGACAGCTAACTCGTTCTCTTTCACCACTTGAGTCACAACTCCTAGTGCTGCTGCATCATCAGAGGCCGCAGTAGACTCTTGCGGTTTCGCAGTATTATATTTTGGCATTACACTGTTGTTTACCTTGTTTGCAGTGGCAACCAAATCCTGCACAAATACAAAAATTTGTTATAGATTTTTCCTTTATATTTCTTGAACTAAATTTACCAAGAAGTTGGTCTCAGAGATTGTTGCCTGTTTTTTTATCTGCACGTGTTTGCTTTTCCTCTCTTGGATAATCTTTTGACGATTCTCGTAGAACACAAAATCATCAAGGATACATGTCTTGCTTGCATGGTCCTTAAAAATCTTGATGACTTTCATTCCTTGCTCTAGCTTTACCTGCAGACAAAAAGGTCATTGTGGGTTAAATAGAAATGACAGATCACCTATTCAACTACAAAGAGTGCTAGATGACACAATGCTCAGACATACTTCCTGTGTGTCTCTGCTATTAGTAACTGGCTTGTTCTCATTGTTCTCCAGAGTAATATGCCTCAAGGAGCTGTTAGGGATATCTTTAACAAAATGCCACTTGACAGGGAAGCAACCAATCCATTTGTCTTGTTGCCAGTATTCAACAGTCTTGTTGAAATCCACTGGGCCTACCATCTCGGCTAAACCAACAAATTGTCCACTCGTGTTTACCTGTGAAATAGATGAAAACATACGAACACTACAATTAAAATCGGAATACCAACCAGAGGTTAATAAAATATGGAAAGTTTTTTTATCAACTCACAGAGAAGAGTAGAAACACAGGACAGCCTTCTGACTTCTGTTTTGCCTCGTTATATGAAGCATCCAGCTTCTTGTTACCATTGGGAGTGCTGGACCAAACATTGTATTTGATACTCTTATGGATATCATCTTCACTATACGATTTGATAACAAAAAACTTTGCTTCAGAGTAGGTCTCAGGGAAATCTTTCTTATTGTAGTCCTTGAGCTCTAAAAGAGATCCATCTTCGCAGAGTTTCTCAATTTCAGTAACAATCTGCTCCTTGGTAGATACAGTCATCACCTTTGAACCCTCTTGGCTGTTGAAACCCTTAGCTCGTGGCCCTCTATTCAGCTCATTTAATCCCTCAATGTTTTCTTTGCCATATCCTTGAAAACCATTTCTTGTCTTGTAGGAATTGTTAACCGCATACCAATTGGGCATGTGCTTCCATGCGTCATAACCGTAAGAGCCATAGCCATATCCATTTGAGTAAGGTCCACACATCGCATAATTTGAGTAAATGTTATCCATGTACCCATAAGATTGACCTGCACTAGCTGATCTTCCATGCTGAGTCGGCAAAATAAGATGATAAAGAATTAATGAATAAACAAGTCAAGACTACAAAACAGGGTATTTATGACTCCAGCTGAACGAATGAAATGAGAACATACTAGGTACTGATACTGAAGATTGGCCTTTCCTGCGGCATAGCTCCCACTGTAACCATATCTTGGGTACTGATATGCTGGAGAATAGTATCCATAAGAGTAGGCACCTTTTGCATATGAACCCTTTGCGTTAAATGCTGAGTTCTGGTAACCGAGTTTCTTAGGGTTCGATCCCTTGTCTTTGGCTAAACCTCCATCTTTAGACAAAAGACCAGGTTTACCGTTTTTGGTAGCCTCCACAAGCTCTTCATTGAGTAAGTAGTCATTACCGTTTCCGCCATATGCCCCCTGCAACTAAAGTGGACAGTAGCCTTCATAAGTTCACTCAGAGAATAAATCGTAGTTGACACAACAAAAGGAATGGTTTTAAATTATTGAAATAAAGTTATAGAAAAGAGCATCAGGAGGTAACAGTCTGAAGTACATGACCAAAACGAAATCAGAGATACAAAATCAGCAAACAAAAAATACCTTGTTATCAGAATCAGGAGCTAAAGCCTTGATTTTTGGATCAAGCGACAAATTGTGAAGCACATCTGAAGCAACTGTACATATTTGAAGTTAAGGAATAACACCTTTTGACTATCCACGAATCAACAAGATCAGTAATAAAAATTAAAAGAGATAACATTTTTTTAAATCAAAACATCAGATCTTCCATAAACCCTAAAAGTTAAAGATTTTATAAGATACATGTAAAACTAACCAAGGAGATCTAAATTTATTGTAAAACAAGAAAAGCTTCAGAGATGTAACAACAGATCCAGCTAGAATCAAGAAATCAACTTATATTCTAAACCCTTTTGAACAAAATGAAATGATTTTTTTTTTTTTTTTTTTTTTTTGCGTTTCAGAGAAGCCTTTGACAAAACAAAACTATTAGAGGTAATACAAAAGAATAGAGAATTGAAGGATACGGTCACAATTTGCTGCCATGGCTGTGTAGTTTTGTTAGCGGCGGAAACTTGGTAAAGACAGAAAGAGCAAATGTGAGAGAGAGTGTCTACGACTGACTTAGCGGAGACCACAAAAACCCTAAAAAGCAACAACTTTTTGAGTGTGTTTCATGTTTCGGGTCAACCCATTCATTTAGTTTCGGGTCAATAGAATGTGACTCGGGTTGCGCTTTCAGCAATACAAATGGGCCTCAAGTAAATAGAAACGACATGTCTTATGAGGACGATAAGGCCCATTTTTAAATTGAGATAGTGCTTGCCCAAAAAGAGAGATATATTCGTTATAACTGAGCTGTCACGCAGACATAATGACGACCCAATGAAATATCTTTTCTCAACATCTTAAGATCTAACGGTCACGATTAAGTTAGATCGTGCAACTTCGCTACATAAACCCTCACACTAGTTAACTCGGTCAAGTAGGGTTTTAACAAAATCGAGAAATCACAGACTCAGAGCAGAGGAAGCGAAATAACAAGGTACTTTTACTCTACAAGCTCATTTCTTTCTCATAAACCCTAGAAGTTCTCAGCTTCGAGTCTCTTTAGCTGTTGTAAAAGGTTCTCTCGTCTCTGATTTTGAGTGATCTCCGTCATTTCTTCGCTTTTCGTTTTCCATCGATTTTAGTTCCGATCTTTGCTGCTGATGACATATCTGTTTTCTGTTTTGGCTTTAAATTCAATTTTTGGTTTCTTATAAAGTCCGCTGGGCAAAGCAAAGAGTTTGAATTTAAAAAGCCTTTGATTGTCGTTTTTAAAACGGGGTCAAGTATGAAACTTGCCTATATGAGTAGGAAAAGAGGAAATGATATGATCCTTACTTTAAATTTGAGTTTCCGGTGACTAATGTATTTATCTTTGCATCTTAGATATCTAAAGGCGATGGCTTTTTTGAGTAAATTCGGTAACATACTGAAGCAGACGACAAGCAAGCAACTCAATGCTCATGTTTCTCTATCAAGCCCCTCGCTTTTTCAGGCTATAAGGTGTATGTCATCTTCTAAGCTCTTTATTGGAGGTGAGTCTAGCTTTAGGAACTCTTTGGAAGCAAATCATTGGTTACTTATTTTTTGTTGCTTTGTTACCAACTTTGTGATTTTGTTTCTTTCTTTTTTCGTTGTTGTAAGGTATGGCGTATAGCATGGATGAGGATAGCTTAAGAGAAGCTTTCACTAAATATGGCGAAGTCGTTGAAAGTAAATACCTGTTCTGTTTAGTATTCTTGTGATTGCTATTGCAGTGTGTGTTAGTAAACAAATTAGGCGCTTGTTTCTTGAGTTTGTTTGCTTAGTTGCCTTCTGCTAACGCGGCCACTATGTTTTTACTCAGCTAGGGTTATTTTGGATCGTGAAACGGGTAGATCGAGGGGATTTGGTTTTGTTACATTCACTTCTGCAGAAGCGGCCTCTAGTGCTATCCAGGCTTTGGATGGCCGGGTAAGTTCAGTTGCTGATTTATGAATCTTTGTTAGAGTAAAAATATCTGTTAGCTTTCAGTTGTCTCGTTGGTTTAACCTTATATTAATAATATCCACCGTTTTCAATATTTTCTTGCCTGATATTGGATGTTTTTTTTTTTTGAGATTAACATTCATTAATAAATTTCACTTTTTGATCCAATGCCTTAATCCTCCATCAGGATCTCCATGGCCGGGTTGTTAAAGTAAATTATGCAAATGATAGAACAAGTGGTGGTGGCTATGGAGGTGGTGGATACGGAGGTGGTGGATATGGAGGCGGTGGTGCTGGCTATGGAGGCGGCGGTGCGGGTGGCTATGGAGGAGGCGGTGCGGGTGGCTATGGAGGGGGTGCTGCTGGTGGCTATGGAGGGGGTGCTGCTGGTGGCTATGGAGGTGGCTATGGTGCAAGTGGTGGCTTTGGATCTAGCGGCAACACTTATGGTGATGTTCCAAGTGCAACTGCAGGGGCTGTTGGCGACTATAATGGAAGTAGTGGTTATGGTAGTGCCAATACTTACGGTAGCAATAATGGTGGATTTGCTGGAGATGGCCAGTTTGGAGGAAACCCAGTTGCCAACAGCTCACAGTTTGGTGGTGAGGATCAATTTGGAAGCATGGAGAAAAGTGAAATAAAGATGGAGAATGGACCAATGGAAGGAGATTTCGAAGATGACACTGATGTCGCCAAAAGAGCTTGAATCAACTAGCAAAAACTGTTGTCAAGACTTGTCTTTTCATATTAATTCCTATGATTAGTAGTAGTTGTTCTACATTTCCTGAATGAAAACACTTTATCCTGAAATAATCTCCTTTTCTATCTTGAAAATAATTTGTAGCTTGAGATTGTTTCTTAAGGTATACATTGAATTTTAAACAAAAAGTGAGCTTTGTTTCAACTTTTCTTGTAGCTTGAGATGGTTTCTTAAGGTATACATTGAATTTTAAGCAAAAAAAGTAAGCTTTGTTTCAACTTTGAAAATTTCATCCACGCAAAACTCTAATGTTGCCTATGTTATAGTTTATGTTCAGTTTCTTCCATGAGAAACAGCATCTTCTGAGCATTCAACACAACAGGAGACCCTTGTTTTGTTTTCTCAACAATCTGCTTTATCAGTTGCTTCTCCATTTCACTCTCAAAGCCGCTGTTTTCTTCTTCATCTTCCATACCAATAAGGTCTAGCAGCTCCTGCTCCTGCACCTTTAAATCATCCTTCTGATGGCTACAAGGTGAGCTTTTGTTTGTTGAAGAGAAATCTTCTTGGTGAATCCCGCTCTCTTGCATCTCCAATGGTGAATCATCATCATCATCTTCCGAGTCATCGTTTATTTTCATCAATTCGTCGTAAGATTCATTGAATGCATCAAGTGCTTCCCCAGTTAAGTTCATAACCAGGGGTTGGATCTCAGCAAGATTAGTCCTGGTGTGCTCTATAGCAACTGGGATTTTTGAGTCACTCTTATATGTCATCACATCGCGGGTTTCCCATAACCTTGACCATGACTTCTTCTTGCTCTCTGATTCCATGACCAGCTGCTCCACCTTCCTTTGGCTCTCTTGGAGTGCGGTCTCGAGCTCTGCAATCCGTTTCTCAAGACGTGAATTGATAACTTTATGCAACCGCAAGCTCAATTCACGAGGTGAGACAGCATAGTTTCCTGACTCAGGCGTGGAGTTGCCACTTGGGTCCTGGTTGGACTCAATTTCATCTAAACGTTTCCCTTTTACCTGATCAGCTCTCAGTTCACCCTGTGCAAATTCTACCTCACAGTCCGACTCCATCTACAAAATTGAACTTTGAAATTTGATAGGGCAAAGCAAATGGCATATTTAAAAAGTGTAGACAACATACCTCGATCAAATCAGAGAGTCTTGTCTCAATGTTGGAGGAATTCATGTTGATTTCTAGCCTTTCAAGTTCAGCTTCAAGCTCTGCTTCGATATTACTTATAGATTCTAAATTCTCAGCTGCGTATTCAATATCTATCTCTCTCACTATCAACGAGTCTTTCATCTTGAGCTCATCTTCTAAATCATGCACCAAGTTCTCTGTTTGCTTCAGCTCTTGTTGGACTTTGCTCACTTCGGCTTGGCTTGCCATGAACGAGGACATGATGCCAATCGAGATACCGATTTGTAGTAACATTGTTGCATCACCTAGACCTGATAAAATATAAAAATTCAGCGCCATGTACAAGTCTTTTCAAAATTTTAGCATAAATAATAACAATCTAAAGATTGCAACAACTTTACCATGCTTTCTACTCTTGCTCGTCTCATTTCCCACTCTTCTCTCAACCGAAGACTCCAATCCAGGGATTTTGCAACTTTCTGTAGCCTTATCGTCATTGAGCATAATATGTTGGCTCAGCCACAACGAATCTGCAGTGCTCTTACTAATTACACGAGTACCATCAGTCACGAGTAATGGCCTTGAAACTAAAGCGTGTGGTGATGGAAACGGGCTAGTCATGTAATCTTCCATGGTCATTTGCTCTCTATGAAACTGAGACATTAAGCAGTTATCCAGGGAACTCAAAGGTTTGGTTAATCGCCTGTACCGCTGGTTTCTCCTAATGAATGTTCTCTGCCTAAATGAAGAATTGAACTGTGTGTCACCTGCAAGAGTAGCACTGGTTTTCCAATTCCCATGTTCAACTTCAGAGACTTCAGGCATGAAACCAATAAAAGAATCCGAATGGTTAGTATTGTAACATCCCAAATTCTCCCCACTCGTAGAAGTATCCTGATGTTCCCCATCTGATATCATTTTCTCATCCCCAAACTTGTTTTCATTAGCTTTCTTAACTCTCACCGAACTGTTAAGCAGGCACCTAGGAGGAGATTCGGGATTCGCACTATGAACATCATCCGAAGAGGATTCAAGGATGTTGTTATTTTTACCTTTCGTCACATTCTGCAATTGCCTAGCTATATACCCCGTAGCAGCAGTCGCAGCGATTAACCATATATCCATTTCTTCCTCTCTTGACTTAAAGAATCAAGAGAGCAACCCAAAACTGAACAGTAGAATCTCCACTTCTTCATTCCAATGAACGAACTCCATATTCATATCGAAAGCTCAGGGCTTTTAACTGTCAAGAGAAGACACTAATCCTTAATCAATCGAAGAACACAAGAAAACTCAAGTCGAGACCTAGAATCTCGTATCAAAATGCAGGAATCAGGTTGAGAGCAACGCCCAAAAAAAACCAAACTTGGTATCAAACTATCCCGAAATCGAATTACTGAGCAATAGCCATCTTGGAAAACTCAGAAAAAAGCTTCGATTTTTCCGTCAGGGATAAGGTGGGGAGCATTTACTTACTAGCAACGACGTTTACCCTTTAGGCGAAAGTTGCAAGGAACGAAGATACAGAAGAAGAGAGACCTTGCTCGTGTAGCTTGAAGAAATGATCAATTTAACCAATGGAAGGTCTAAGATATCGAAGAATCGGAACACAAGGTCGAATCTTTGTCGGGAGTTGGTAGAATCGAATCTGTGAAACTTAGACAAGACGAACGAACGGCTCTGTGTTTTATTTATTATCTTCGAGCTTCTTCGTTTACAATGGCAACGACGATACGGCAAGTTAGTGAGAAAACTGTAAGGTTATTATTAAATTCCCAAATATCAGATAATAAATATACTTTATATTTCATTAAATGGTTTTTGTTTCAGTTTTTTTTTTTTTATAACGGTTGCTGAGAAAGAGAAAAAAATAATTTGTTGAGTAAACCAAACAACTACGGAAAATTTAGAGAAATTAGTCAATGAAAAATAAATAAATATATTTGTTTTGTTTTTTTTCGCGTAATGAAATTGACTAAAAATGTAAAGTAGACAAAATATATTAGCATTTGGCCCATTTTACCAAAGAATAAATAGTTTTTTCCCCTTACTTTAATTTTTCAAATATTTAACACGAGCATTCAATTGATATGCAATGACAGAACTCATAAGTTCATAAGAAAATAGTCTTCGATTGACAATTTTTGATACAATTTGGAGTTAGCCAGCTTGATGACAAAAACAAGATTTGGAGTTAGCCAGCTAATTTAAATGATTTAACGTTAATATTAATATGAAAAATACTTGGGTTACTCTTGTTCACCCTCTTTCTAATAACCAATCAAAATATAACAATATGTCATTTTATTTTTTATTTAAAAAGTAAATTCAAATTAAAATAAATAAAAAGAAAACAAATTATCGAAACAAATTCTGTAGGATTTTTATTAAGGAAATTATATATTTCGGTTTGGGTTTATAAAAGAGTTGTTAGAGTTTAGATTTTATACATAAACGAAATTGTATTTCGGATTTGGTTGACAAAACAGTGTTTAGGGTTTAGATTTTGTAATTAAACAAAATTATATATCGGTTTGGGTTGACAAAATAGTGGTTATAGTTTAGATTTTGTAATTAAAAAAAATATTATATTTTGGTTTAGGTTGACAAAATAGTGGTTAGGGTTTAGATTTTGTAATTAAACAAAATTATATTTCGGTTTGGGTTGATAAAATAGTGGTTAGGGTTTAGATTTTGTAATTAAATGAAATTATATTTCGGTTTAGGTTTATAAAAGAGTGGTTATATTATTTTTCATAATCTATTTTGTTTTAATGATTTTAGTTCTGATTTATTTTTATATATGGTATGACGTGGCAAATTACTTCATTTTAATTGATTAATCTAATAATATTACTCTATTAATATTAACTATAGTTTTTTTTTTTGGTAGGGAATATTAACTATAGTTATAAGAACAGCAAAGATATCCTCTAATATGAAAAGCTTTAGGCAGCTAGTGTATATATTTCCTTATCCATTTTTGGTTTCTTTTTCTTAACGGCAAGCTTTGTAAACTAAACTGTAATAACGTTCTAAAAAGATGCCATGTGGTTCTGTTGATAGTGTGTAGTGCCACAGTATATCTTTTTTTAAGGTTTTTCTCATCCTTTTTACCAAAAAAACAATGGGAGGGAAAACACGAATTCTTTAAATACTATGCCGAATTCACAATATTGATTTGCATTTGATACAAACCATACAGGAGGTTTATTATACCGAATACAGCAGCTTCACAGTAAAGCCTAATCCGAAGCCATTTTACCTTATACAGTTATACATACAGAGTTTGCTTTAGGGAGCTAAGAGAGGACACAGCCTTTCTTTCAAAAGACATATACTCAAAAGTCTCCCAATTTCTTAACCTGTGTTTTTAAAAATAAGAAAATCCTAATTGAATAACTCAGAAACCCCAAAGCTCCAAATCGTTATCAAGAGTTCGGTTTCTGGGTAAATAATACATCAGAGAGGTTTAGACGCAGCATTGTCTATGTAAGCCTCAGCTTCTTCTTCAGAGAATCTTCCTCCTTCCACAAGTCCCCTTATCAAGGTGTTGGCATAGGCTTTTCCAGGAGGTCTTAGAGGGACCTCACCGGATTTGAACTTCTCAACAGCAGAAGGCCTGCAACTGCAAACAAAACAAGTTATTGAGAAACCGCAGCAAAAAAAAAAGGAAGTTGGATGAGTTTATTCCTCTCGCAGTTTAACTCAGCAGCAAAAGAAAAGGAACAATGAAAACTTACGTCATTGTAAGTATAGGAATGCCGCCTTCTTTCCCCAACCAGACAACATTTGCATACCAGCTATTCTGTAAACAATGTCGATGAACAAGTATAGATGTGATTATTACATTTTTTTTATGAGTGTATCAATCAACATTTGTTGTCTGACTAACCGAAACAGCCTCAGGTAAAATGGATCCTTTATTCTCTACTGACTGAAGAGCAGCTAGATCAAAGGATGCCGAATCTGAATCTAAATTCAAACCATTTTCTTGACACAGAACGTCGTTGAACTGCTCAAGCCTGTTCACAAAACAATAACAACCTTTAGTGAATACCTAGAAAAAATCATTAAATGAAGTAAATATGGAAAGTGAATGGAAACTGAGACGAATCGTGGTACACTTAACGTGATTCTGTACAAACACATTTGAGTTTGATCATTAAGATTAGCAAGAGGATTGGTGAAAGCAACTCCTCCTACACCCCAACTAGCAGTAGATTCCTGGCCAAAGAACAATCTATGTGGAAATGTTTCCCACACAATTTCCTTTGGTGGACTTTTATCCATTGAACCAACACATGCCTTTTTCATACCATCGACCTGGAAATAAACACAGACAAGTCATCAATGTGTCAATTAAGACCTAAGCTCAGACTCGACCCCAAAAAAAACAAAACTAAACTTGGTTACTTACCTGTCCCCCTTGAATATAGCAAAGAAACCTCGGTTTCCACATGTTGGATCCAAAACAAGCATACCAAACGTCAACCTTTGCGAGATCAGCTCTCCAAGATGTAGATGCAGTATCTACTTGGTAGTTTTCAATGCTGAGTTTTGATATTTGATCCACGAGTCCATGGTCATCGTCTTCAATTTCAGAGTCAGAGCTTGAGATAAGGATAATCTATAATGAACAAACAAAAGAAATACATAAACTGTTTCCAGAAAAAGAAGATTAAGCAGAGGAAACCTAGTAAAGAGGCAAAGAAGTTAAGAAGTGGTTGCTAAGTGATAAAGAAGTGAGGTTTTTCGAAATCTAATTTGGCAAGGAAACGCTCCCTGATGAACAACGAAAACGGAAATGGAAATGGTTGACAGAAAGAAGGGTGCCCAACTGGATTAGGAGTTTTCTGATCAATCAGTTTCCACGACAGTTCATCTGCAAGTGAAGGCCAATATGCGCATAGCCTTTTGCGTACCTGAACCAACAAGAAACAGATGAGTTTTGTCAATTAGTAACATAAGCCCTACAGAACATTTATGACGGAAAACTGAGCTGGAAAGAGAAAAAAGATTGTTTCAGATTGTGAAATGAGGACGTAAGAAGATGGTATAGAGCTACGTAAGAAGATGGTATAGAGCTATACCGCTTGTATGACACGCCATGTAGACTCGAATGGGTATGCTTCAGAAGAACCTTGAATTACTTTGTCTTCAAGCAAAACTTGGACACATGCAAGTGAAGACTTTGCAATTGAGTCAAGATTGTACCCTCCCTCTAAGGCCATCACAATCTTTCCATGTGCAAACTCCATTAGCTGAGAACATTGGTGAAACAGAATGATATCACATCCAAGTATAGATTATGTAGCTCAGTGATGGAGACCTGTGGAATGCAAATACAAACAATGAACAAAATAGGGAGTTCACATAAACACCAACCTTCTTCAACATAACTGAATATCCATATGGTGTTACGCGACAACCCCCGAGCGGATCACCAATGGCTGTGGAGAGGAGTTTGAAAAGGTTACACAACTCTGAACGTGACATAGCCTTAAAGTAAAATAATGCTTAAAACCGTATATACCTGCATCAAATCCAGCTGAGAGCAATATAATATCGGGGTTAAATTCCCTAGCCACAGGAATCAAGATATGGTCCCATGCGGCAAGATAATCCGCATCTCCACATCGTCCTTGATCCCATGGAACATTTATGTTAAACCCTTCACCTGGACCTTCCCCAACCATGTTAAAATCCCCATCATCGCCTGATGGATAGAAACTTCCATACTCATGCCTAACCACAAATGCGTTTTTAATTATTAACCAAGAATAAAACTCAATAGAAATCAAGTGAAAAGGTAACACTAACAGAGTTGAACATTTGTAGCGTCAAAAGAAGAGTAAATAAAGGTCACAATTACATACCTATGAACAGAGAAAAATAGTACACGAGGATCTTTCCAGAACATCTTCTGTGTGCCATTTCCGTGATGGACATCCCAATCAACAATCAGAATTTTCTTGACACCTAGATCCGGCTGTATTCAAGAAAAGCCAAAAGAACTTGGAAATAGGAAAACCTAAGGAATGTGGCCAACGAGTTTGAAAATAAGTAAGAGAATACAAGGACATCACAAAAGTCAATAGAAGTCTTTACTCTTTCGTTTAGTAGATAACTAGCAGCAACAGCAACATTGTTGAATAAACAAAAACCCATGGCTTCATCTGTCTCAGCATGGTGCCCAGGGGGCCTGAC